TGCCGCTGTCAAGGTATTCATCAGAATAATTTTTGCACTTAGCAATTTCAGTTCTTTACATTATATATTATATAGTGACCTTGGTTTTATATCTTGCAGATTATTTTGGATTTGCATAATCCTCATATTTAGTGAGCAGACACTATACTATAACCATTTTCAGGCTGCTGGTATAACTATAGAGGATCCAAACAGTCCAAATTTTTTTACTCCTATCACAGGGCAAAGATCTCTTCCTGACCTCAGAGAATCCCATCCCGCATTTCGAGTACCTCCCATTGAGGTGGGTGCTGATTACTGCACTAATTTCTACGTTAAGGCATGCGGATCAGCTTGCTTTTCTTTCTTTTTTTGTTTTACGTCGGTTGTCTGTTTAAAATGATTATATCAAGACCACATATTTTCAATTTTTTCAAGATAGCCGGAAAATCATTAAGAAATTTCCTCTATAGGTTGAATTTATTTTTTTCTCAATTGTGTTAAAGAAAGAGAATTATATCGACTAATGTATCCATCTGATTTTATACTGAATTTTCAAAAATATTGCCACTTTGCTTTTTCAATGAAAAATACCACTGATAAAATCAAGATTTTTCACCACCTAAAATGTTCGAAAACGTTATATTTGCTTTTCGTCATTCTATTTTGATACTTTTCATATGTTCTCAGTTTATAGGAACATCCTTTATACCATAAAACAAGCTGCTTGTTATTTGATGGTAGCACACCGATGAGCGATGGCATCGCTCAAGCAGCATTACTATGCAAAGCTGTGGTGAAGCAAGGCTTACCTGAGGCTATGTTGCAGCAAGTTGGACAAATTGAGATTTCGGAGGACTCGGTTTGTTAATCTCTTTTGATTTTCTAGGATGTTCCAGCTGCTTTAGCTGTAATAGTGATGTATGATTTGAGGTTCGTGACGCTATCCTTCATGGCGAGAAGTACGATCCAACTCTTGAGAAGTTGCCAAGACGTTTTGACCCAGTGTTGTTTTGGATTCGACATCCTGTAGTTCATGGGACACCTGTCATCAAACGATTGCAAGTTCTGAACACTTTTTTTGTGAAAACTGATCATATGGCACCATGCTTTCAGAAATATTGTCCTCGATAATCTTTGTCGGATTGCCTTATTCACTGGCTTGCACAGCGGGAAGTTAACAGAACACACAAGGTGAATAAGTGATTATCTATACCACACAAATCGTTATTTCCTAATCTACTATCCATAGCAAGTGAAATCTTATTTATATTACTTACCTAGACTCAGTGATCTATTTTCTTCTGTATCAAGTGCAGGCGAAAAACTTTTCTGATCATGTTCTTTCAACATTTCAACTCTTTTTGCTCAGTTTTCGCCTTTTCTCCATATAGCAAGTGCAGGAGTGGCTGATGATTACAAACTAGGAGGAAAGGGATGTT